TAAGTAATATGAAACTGTATTTGTTTCTTTTGTTGTTCTTGTTGATACCGTCATTTTTTTATTTCATTTAGCTAGGATGATATATTTGCTTTTTGTTGTTGATTTTTCATTTTGGAAATGAAGAATATGGGGCTTCTTTACTTTCTGGTTGGCTGACTCGTGATGCACTCGACTAGAGCGCTGTTCACTGTCCTACACATAGGAGATATTTCAACATGTGCAGATGAAAAATAATCAAAGTAGTTTTTCAAATGCAGCTGAACAATTATTCATATAATACTAGACAGTTTTATTTCGAATTAGGGCAAGACACATTTGAGGTGTATTACATGTAAAAATTGGGCATATCTGGGTTGAAGTACTTCTAAAATGCCCAACCCTTTCGACAAATACTTCACCCTTGAACATAAATTAATTTGTTTTGTATAAAAATGTGAATGAAGTCATTGTATTTTCATTATTATAGTTTATTGCTCAACTGATTCAGTTATAAACAAATTACCACAGATCTGTCCTCCAATCTGTTTTTCCATTAACCAGATGTCGCCCCTACAAACGACAACCCTCAGAATTCAAAACTTGTGCGAACTAAGAATTAACGAGGTATGGTCTTTCAAAGTGCGATCCCTAGCACTGATTTGACGATAGTCAGTGAAAATAACCGACTTCGCGGCACGTATCACCGTTTCACCTGACGGTCGACTGAATGAGTGAAACAAACTACTCAGGCACTGAATGAGTGAAACAAACTACTCAGGCCAACCCATCCGTCTACAAAACGGCCGTCCAATCCTAATACATGATGTCATTAAGTACCTTTCAGAAATATAAAAAACAACCATTCTAGAAAAATCGAAAAGTAATATATTTATAGTCGCCATATATATACATATTTTCCAAAAATATACATCTCATCACAAGGTACCCTCAAAATCGGAGTAACAAACGAACAACTGTAACAGTCTGCATAAAATTTACAACAGGTCACATTTACAAAAACAAAACGTTTTCAAAAAACATTTCCAGGCGTTGGCACGAGAAGAATAGAACTATCACATTCCAGTCGCTTTAAAAATACGAATTTACTTTTAAAAAATATACAATACAAAACCTAACACTATTTTAATACTTAGGGAATTTAGGGAACGTACCAAGTGCTTCAACAGAAATGGCAAGAGTCTGATTGTATGGCAGAAGATAATTTACACAAGGCGAAATCACACTGTTCACATTTTGTTCAACATATCACTCTCCGAACCAGAGTCCAAATTCGCTTTGGCTTTCCTCAACACTTGGCTTGTCTTGTGGATCTGTTTGCAGATGGTTTTCTCCACTTGTTTCTTGCGTTGGTTGGCTAAACTAAGCTGAGCTGCTGTTTCTTCCAGCGCCCTCTTCATTCTCATGAGCTTTCTCTTCAGTTCGTTGTTTTCATGAGCTATTTCTATTGTCCTACGGCAGCAGACATCACCATCTGTGAAATTAAAACGGAGGAAATTTAACAATAGATATATCATGTAAATTAACCAATGTAATAAATTCATGAGATTGATTCAAAAGTTCATTTTCTCTTCTGAGAGCACCTAAATAAAAGCTTGTTCAAAAGATTGTTTTTCAATTCTCTAGAATCTGTTGAATATGAACATGTCTATCACAAATTGAGAATCATCCTGAGAGCTTGATTCAGTGTCTTCTAAGAATTTCGGAGACTATTTGTTTGATCCTCAATATCACAAATTGAGTTTTTTCACTAGTTATTTCCAAACCATTACCATTATCCTGTACCAATTAGTAATTTGCGATTCATCATATTCAAATTGATTGTTATACCTTCACCAAAAAAATTAATGTGGGTATGAGAAAATGTTACACTGTAAAGCATCTTGGCGTCTTGAAGAAAATCAATAAAATCTTGGCTATAGAAATATCAACTCACCACAACTAGCGACCTCCAGAGGGTTATTATCGCCGTCCAACAAATTGCTCATTGACTCAGTCAGTTCGATCGTCTGTTTCAACGGCCTCATGACATTCGCAGGTGCCTCTAAGCTCGAGAACCTTCCGTGGTCGCTCTCGATCCCCAGATCGGGCGAAGAAGTTGCCTCCTGCCTCTCCACATCTACGGCCTGTGGACGCCTAGAAAACGCCCGAACTCCCGCATCTTCAGCGTTATCCTCCGAGCTATAGTTCGTGTTTGAGAGATGCCTGTAGTAGGGCACTGCCTGAGGAGGGCTTCTGGCAATGAAATTGGGTAGGGATGCGTTCAAATCGACCCTGCTCGCTTGCAGCCTAATTGTTCGATTTCGTTTTTAGCTCGCGAGGACTCCTTTTCAAACTCTGCTGATATGCGCAAGACCTCGTTTTTCTCCACCTCCAGCCGGTTCATGGCATCTTGCGTCTCCTTGTCTTTGACCACCATCGCCTCCTGGAGTTTCTCCTTGTTACTGGTGAGCTCCTCGACGGTTTTCTCGAGAACCTGTGGAACGGAATATATAGTTCATATAAAATAAAATCAACTGCACGTCATCCATGACACTGTGGCATCAATCCTGTCTTATTTTATTGCAGTGATGTAAATGTCGATTTGTTATATGTTGAATCAGAAAGATATGAAATCTCTTTTTTAAACTTGATATGAAAAATACGATTACTAAGTATCATTAGAAGCATAAACTCAATTATTGGAAATATTACTGCTACCAATATCCATGTTGAAGATAGCTTAGTGTCAGATCATAGATTTTCAATAAGCAAAGGTGAAAATTTCACTATTTTCTATAAACTGCACCAAATGTTATGTGACACATGCAAACTTCCCAAGTCAAATATAAGCATTTTGAAATTGTATATGAAGAAGTTGAACGAAGGTAGAAATGAAATCAAAACATCTAATACTACCGAACTATTTATCGATAATAAGTCTATATCAGATAATCTATATCAGATAATGTTGATAACAATTTCATATACCCAACAACAACTCTGATTCTCTCTTCAATGTTTCAAGTGCAAGTTATCATCTAAACCAGAACTTTCTCGGATTAAACGCGAACGTTAACTGTTTTATCTTTGGTTTTCACTTGTAGAAGTAAGGAATGCTAAGTAAAGGTATATGTTTTACCCTGTCAGGTATTGATGATGCATGTGTAATAATTCGTTGCTACAAGAATAAAGAAATACCCTACATCAACATATTTATGATTGATTTCTGTTTCATTGTATTACATACCTTGATCTGGTGTTCAGCCTCTGCCTTCTTCAGTTCCGCATTGGCCAGTCTCTCTTCGGCGCCTGCTAATCTAATCTTTAGTTCTTCATACAGCTCCCTTCCGACGGTATTCAAAATCCTCGACTCGGCCACTTCCAATTCCTCGTTCTTCTTGAAGAGCTCACCTTGGAGATCCAGAACCCTCTGCTCCAGCTGGCGTTTGTCCTCGGAAGTCTTCTTAGTAGGCGTGAGGCAGTAGGCTGATTCCTCTTCTGTAGACTCGCTTAGCTCATTCCTGACCACGACGAAGTTAGGTAAGGTTTGACTCAGCCCGATCCTAGCCCTGGAAACGACCCTGTCGGGCTCAGACCACCCCTCCGATTCCGACTGGCACTCGCTCTGATATTTTAATGTAGTGGAAGTCGTGTTACACTTGACAGGAGTCGAGAAGAGTTTAGAAATGTCTTTGAAACCGCTCCTGCGTTTCAGGTCAGTGTCGCTATCTGAGGTTTTGTTACACAGGTTTGCGTTGACCTTGCTGAGCTCGATATCTCGTAGCTGCAGCTCGGACTTGAGGTTAACGACTTGCTCGCGCAGAGCAGCAATCAGGTCCTCGTTATTAGGCTCCACTGAATGCCTGTTCTGCTTATACAAGTGGCTTTGGTAGGTCAAGGTTATGTCTTTGGGGATGATGGAGAGCACTTCATGGCTCTCCTCTTCGACGGGTGCGCAGCTTAACGTGAGATCGTGGAACGCGGATCCGTTGAGCAAGGACGTTATGTTGGACAGCTGGGCCAGACTCTGGTCCGGGTTGATCAGCAAGCTCATGGCGAAGGATTTGGACATATCTAGGCTGTTGTTGACGAGCACGCGCAGCTTGCGCTCCTTCTGCAAGCCCAGGAAACCGAGAACCGATTTTTGCTTCAACAGCGAATCCAAAAACAGCGCCAGCTCCTCCAGTCTGGTATTCAACAAGGAACAGACCTCGTTTGACTCCTCCCTGAGCTTTTCACAATGCTCAACCTGTATCTTCAAATCGGCTACTTCAACCTTCAACGTTTCGATTTCTTCGTCTTTTCCAACCAATTCCTGCTTCAGCTTGAAACTCTCTGAGGAGTTGGCCTGCTTGCTATGCAACTTCTCAATCTCCTTGTTCTTCTCCCAAAGCTCCTTGTTGACTATCTCCTGAAGGTAGCAGGTGCACTTCTTCAGCTCGGTAGTGAGCCTGCCGATTTCACGGTCCTTTTCTTCAATTTCTTTTCTGTAGAAGCTGCTGTGTTTCTCGATGACATCGGTTTCCTCTAACAGCGAGAATTCTTCGGCGTCGGGCGAGATTTGCAGTTCGGATTGCATGGTGGCGATTCGGTTCTCTTTGGCCTCCAAATTGGTCAGGATTTCTTCGTACTGTTGCCGGATCTTTTGCATCTGCAGATCCTTTTCGTTTAGAGTAGCCACCAAAATCTGCGAAAAGATTGATCTGCTGATAATTTGTCAATTGAATACCAAGTTGTTTAATAGTAGCAAATTAGTACCACTTCAGTGTCGTTGCTTTTCGAGTTTCAAATCCGTGGATTTTTGGAATTTCTTCCTGGCCATCATGACTACCTTTTAGGTTTCGTAAAGCGTATTAATGCCTTGGCAGGTAATCAGTTGTATTTGTACCTGTATTCGTACCTGCACTTGAACCTGGAACATTAACAGTCTTGCTGCCTGTTGTCCTGTTCATTATTCTCGAATTCCTTAAAATGGGGTTCCATATTTGATTGAGGTTCACCGCTTCTTCTTTTCTGTTAAAAAGTTTTAAGAACTGCGTATTACCGGATATCGCATCAGCATAAGTCAGCTTTGACATTGATCTTGTTTATCCATGTTATCTTGGGTATGAATAGAGAAGGTCAATAAACAACATATAACATACTTCTATAATGAACAATAAGGGATGTATACAATGTTTTACTATGACGAGTTAATTTAGTTAAGCGATATCTACGTTACTCGTAAAGGTGGAAAAATAAAATAAAGGTGGTCTCGAAGAACGTCAGATTGACCTTTTGAGATTACATTTGAAATCGTTATAACCATTGCAGTTTCTGAGAAACTACTCTACACTTTTTTTCAAATAGCGCCCTCAACAATTGTATACTTCACTTCAGTCTTTCTTCGACTGTAAAATGTGCTTCATTAAATTTACAATGTGAAGAAAAAATTAATGCTTTTGCTGATGACATTGTAATATATTATATTGCTCTAAATTCAAAAGAAATTAAACAAATTATTCATGAAGATTTATGCATAAATTTAATGAAACATATCTTTTCTTCACTAGTTATCAAAATTCACTGCCAAATTTGGTTCCAATAAAAAAAGTTAATTCAAAATTTGTGAAACCGGATCTATCGAATATTCATGTATAATGATTGATAGGCATTTATTATTTTTACTCATACTCATATCATTCAATACATTTCACTGATGTCTTGAATGATATATAACACTTACCATGCAAGCCAATGTCAAGAAAAGATTGATCTGCTGATAATTTGTCAATTGAATACCAAGTTGTTTAATAGTAGCAAATTAGTACCACTTCAGTGTCGTTGCTTTTCGAGTTTGAAATCCGTGGATTTTTGGAATTTCTTCCTGACCATCATGACTACCTTTTAGGTTCCGTAAAGCGTATTTATTCCTTGTCAGGTAATCAGTTGTATTTGTACCTGTATTCGTACCTACACTTGAACCTGGAACATTAACAATCTTGCTGCATGTTGTCCTGTTCGTTATTCTCGAATTCCTTAAAATGGGGTTCCATATTTGATTGAGGTTCACCGCTTCTTCTTTTCTGTTAAAATTATCCGTGTGTTTGTGTATCTATATTGCCTCCCGTACCAGTCGGCTGTGGTATCCTTGGTTGGGGGCAATTCGTTCTGTGTTCTCAAACAAAATTCTGTGTCTGTCTGTTTGGCCTAGTCTGCAGCTCCTTTTATGATCGTTTGGTGGTTCCAATATATACCTTTCCACAAGTTCACGGAATGCGATAGACCCCTGCTGCTGATAATGAGTCTCTTTTGTCTTTAGCCGACCTGAGGCTTTGTTGTATCTTCCTCGTGGGTTTGAAGACAAACGTTAGATATGCGCGTGCAACCATCTGATCCTTTTTCGCTTTCCGAACCGTGGTGCCCTTCGGTCTCATGGCTCTTCTGGTCTCGGAGGCACTGTATCCATTCGCTCTCAAGGTCACTTCCAGGTATTTCAGTTCCCTCTCCAAATGTTCTGGTTCACATATTCTCCGAGCCCGTTCCGTTAGAGTGGAGATAACTCCTCTCTTTTGGCTAGGATGGTGGTTCGATAGTGTGTGCAAGTATCTATCTGTGTGTGTGGGTTTTCGATACACTTTGTGGGTTAGTCTGGTACCACATCGTTCTACTAGAACATCTAGGAAAGCTATCCGTTGGTCGCATGCAATCGTTTCCTAAACCACTTTAACGCCCAAAACCCGAGTATAGAATTCACCATGGAGATTGAGCAAGACCAGAAGAACCATGAGACCGAAGAGGACCACGGTTCAGAAAGCGAAAAAGGATCAGATGGTTGCACGCGCATATCTACCGTTGGAAAACTATTGGGCAAACACGACATCGAAACAGTCTTCAAACTCACGAGGAAGATACAACAAAGCGTCAGGTCGGCTAAAGACAAAAGAGACCCATTATCAGCAGCAGGGGTCTATCACATTCCGTGCACTTGTGGAAAGGTATATATCGGAACCACCAAACGATCAGTATACAAAATGCTCAACGTAGATTTCGCAACTTCATCTATCCCATTCTTGATCGTCGACATTTCTGTTGTAGGGGTTTGTGTCGACGGTAGAGAAGGTATATGGCAACAGCTCTACGACTGACCCCATGGAACCAGGAACTAAAAAGGCCTCCGGTGTGAATGAGCGGTAGGTAAGAGTGATAAACGCTCTCGTATAGAAGCGAGAGATATGGAGCCGTGTGAAAGAGTCCTTATTAATGGCATTTGCTTTCATTTTTTCAACATCAAAGTGTATAATAAAAAGTATACAGATAGAACTGAAAATCAATGAAACGGGTAGTTATATACCGGTTCCAGAAATCGGTACTTTTGATCATTTTCAAAGTATATAATCCAAGGATGTTGAGTCTAGACAACTTGCTGGTCATTCAATGTTACATGATTTGAAAACATTTGATTATCGAATACTATTACAGAAATGTGAGGAAGAGCCATTTTGTTTCCTTTCGATGCATATGAATGTTCTCACTTACTCAAAGGCTAGAAATATATTTCATACTTTTATTCATCCCTGTGTTTATATCAAGAAACTGGCCAATTCAAATTGGATTAAAAAATCAAATTTCTCTCTCATAACACTATCAGTTTCGTTATCAGTAATCCAATTTTATTCCAAATTCAATGAGAAAATATCTGATTTCGATATATAATCCCACTAAGCAGGTTATAGTATAAAGCCCTACAATTCTCTCTCTCTTGATATTAAACAAACACCTTCACAGAATATAATGAAAATGTTCAAAACAAAATATTATTCATCAACTACAATAGTAATAATAATTCATTTCATAGATCACTTGGCAACTATTCGATTTTTCAGACCAGTAAAATCTAGTATCACTAATAAGCTTTGGAGAATGGTCATAGAATACTTGAAATTGTTGAAACAGATATATGACACTGAACTTCTAAATGCTCCATTGTTTTCTTTATTATTTACTACTTCAATTTTTGAGAATTAGAAACCATTTGCTGACAATGCCAATTTTGTTGTCTTTCAGATGACAGTAGTTCATGTTCTTAAGTGGTTTTCAAAAAAGAAATCCATATGCCATATACATTTACTTTTTGATCTAGTTCAGAAGCTACTAAGAAATGGTACAGTAACTGGTGTATACCCATTGGAAGTTCTATATCATCCTACAACACCCCCAGCCCAAATGCACATTTTTTCATTTATAGACCCCAAGAATCATTTTTGTTCACAAATATATATCGAACGTTAAAAATTCAAGCATACTTCTGAAATAATGAAACTCAAACAAAATAATCTAAATTCAATCCAATTCTCTTCTTCAACCACTAAAGGTGGTAGACAAATTTCAACAAGTTCTAAGTCATCTATTAAGACAAAAAAAATTCAAAATGTCTGAAATATGATTAAAAGTAAGAATTTATTGATTCCTTTGCTTGAACAGAGTGTAAATTTTTATCTAATATAATCATCAAAGTTATCCTTTTTTTTCTAATTGACTCTATCATTTCCAACACTTAGCAATAATATTATTTTATTACAGTAAAGAGTTTNTCACATAATTTGTATGTCTACTGAATATGAAATTGGACCCAACCAAATTCTGGAAATAAGCTCTCTGTTCCGTCAATCATTATCCGATCAGGTATAAAACTTGAAAAAAAAATTAAAAAACAACTTTACCTCTCCTCAAAAGGCACACACAAGAAAACATCACGGAGAAGTCGCGTTTTAACCAAAATGGCCGTCGGAAATACTTCCATCCATCCGACTATGAGGCATAGCGAGATCGGAAAATTGACTGAACCCCGTTGGAACAGCGCATCTAAAAATACCTCCGCGATATTCCCGGACCAGGTTTCATCTTCTCTCGTGCGGGAATCAAAACACGTCGTCTACGGACCAACATACCGATTTTAATAGGTTTGTTACCCCAAACTATTTGTTTATATGTCACGGTGCAAGGAGGAAATCGGAATACAAACCGAAGATTAAAATATTTATTGTGCAACAGATGGAAACATCTTTTTCGGTCGGCAGATCGGTCTGAATTTAGTAACGTCGTCGACAATTTTGTGTCTTTGGTTACAAAATGTAGGACAGTTAGGAATTCCATCGAGTACAGGGTGGGTTGAAGAGATTTTTCTTAATATTTCATGAATGAAGAGGGATATCAAAAAAATATAAAACAAGGTTCTATTATACATGCGTTAGGAATCACACGTTAAAAGGTAAGATCTCGTTAGTCCTTAGCTCGCACAAGTTTCTTAACTTCTGAGGGTTGTCGTTCGTAGAAGTGCGACAGCTGGTTAACGGAAAAACAGACATGTAGTTTTCAACTTTTTTGTTATACCAATATCAGTGTGAAGGTTCATTATAATAATCAGTTCATGTTATTTATTTGATCTTTATATTTTTAAAAAGCTAAATAAACTCACTATTATTATTATCAAATTTAATTAACGGAACTGTCAGGAAAGTTGCTGCTACATCTAAGACTGGCGAAAGGAACTCTGGGGAAGATGGCATCATCCACAGGAAAGAACACTGGTTTAAGAAGAAGTTCAAAGAAGCCGCATATATGTTGTCCAACGGCGCATTCAGCCAAGCTAGCGTAGAGATACGCAACTTATGAAACCCATAATCAAGCGGAAAAAAGGTCAACTTACGCCAAACGGTATTCTCCCGCTAAACCGGTGAAGCGGAGAGAGGAAAGAGAGGATAGGTGAAAGCACTCGAATGACCTATGAATAGCCATCTCTCGGAGTAATAGTCCAGTCATCATTCGAAGATGATTGTGGATACTAACAATCGAAACGTCGTGAAGTAACTTGGCTTGAAATCTTTTAATTTTTATTTCATTTTTAATTGTTCAATTTTATCTAAACCATATTGACTATTTCAAATTTTTTTCTTGAATAACCGATTATGTACAACGTTTTCCAAAGATTGTATAATGCACATTGAAAATACAAATTTAACAATTTTAACAATCCTTTAGAAAACTATTAGATCAAGGTGAAACTGAGGGTTACATACAATTCAAAAATGATTAAAAAAATACCACAGATAGATTAATCGGCACTGAAAATATTGAGATATTGTGCCCAAATTTGGATTTAATAAAAGTAGGCACAGTACAACTTGTAAATCTTCCATGGAAATCTGTAGAAATACTTTGAAACCAACGAGGCACATTTCTATGGAAAATTAAGCTATGGAAATATTGATTGTTCATATATTTTAGATCGGATTTTTTTAGAGTACAGTTATGATTATAGTTAGCGCCCTTTCACACGGCGAGCTTCACGTCTCTCGCTCCCAAGAAAGAGGAAGGGTCTTAGCGCCAAAACTACGAGTCCAATGATGCTTCCAGAAGTATATAGGGAGCCGTCACGTCTCGGGAGCCGCCATGTCTTGGGAGACGAGAGCTTTCACGTGAAAACAGCTCTTCCTAGTTGACGCTTCATACTATTTATCATGGCAGATTACGATTTGGAGTAGTTAATTAGTGGTGTCTGCAACCGACTCGCTCTTTGGGAAAAAGTCTCGACATTTATTAGGACCGAAATGAAGTCGTAAATAGTTGGGTGGAAGTATACAAAATGCTCAACGTAGATTTCGCAACTTCATCTATCCCATTCTTGATCGTCGACATTTCTGTTGTAGGGGTTTGTGTCGACGGTAGAGAAGGTATATGGCAACAGCTCTACGACTGACCCCATGGAACCAGGAACTAAAAAGGCCTCCGGTGTGAATGAGCGGTAGGTAAGAGTGATAAACGCTCTCGTATAGAAGCGAGAGATATGGAGCCGTGTGAAAGAGTCCTTATTAATGGCATTTGCTTTCATTTTTTCAACATCAAAGTGTATAATAAAAAGTATACAGATAGAACTGAAAATCAATGAAAANAACAGCTTTCTGAATCATCGACTACACTACGGCCACTACTTTTATATATAGATATACTATAGCTATTTTGTTCTAGTTTCGTAGTCTTTAATGGTTTAAAACAGAAATTTTTGCTGCATCACAAACAAAAATGAGAAACTGTTATTTTGAGAAATTCACACACTATTTTGAAAATAATTAATTTAGAAATTAGAATTACCTATAGTTTTCTAATCTCCGAACAATGCTAACTTGGTTAGCATCATCAGGAGCAAAACGTGTATCGAGAGACAGTATTTTGTTTTGGTGTGGCAAAAGTGTTTTAATAGATTAATTTTTCGTCAGAACTTTTAATTGTAACTATCAACTTCAAAAACAGTTCGATTTCATGGTCATTTAATTTTTTCCTGTTATAATTTTTCTTGAAAATCCTCTATTACCCAGACTGAATATTTTGCAGAAATTTTTCAAATGATAAAAAGTTGATGCTTTCTAGGGGCTTGGTCCCGTGAAATCATATCAAGATATTTCTGAATGATAAACAGTTCCTTACCTCGATTTTAGCTTCCAGTTCTAGGATGAGAGCTTTGTAATGCTCAGCGATTTCGATGTCTTCAGTCTTTGATTCGGCCATAGGTTTCTATCAACAGGAACATAAGGTGTATTAAAACTTGACGATAACTTGATGAAGGAGTTTCCTACAAACACCATCTACACCAAATTTCAAAGCGGGTTAGTCGTCAAGATAGTTCCAACTCCTCCATCTCGTAAAGGGGTAAGGACAAGCAAAACGACACAAAATAAAAATGCAATCCAGAGTATTTTGCATGCATTTATTCAGCTGATAACAGAAGCTCTACAGGTAATAAATGCACTAGGCAAAAGCAAAAAAAAATGTTTTTATAAAATCAATGGGATCTTTGAAAATATTGACTCTTCAACAGAAGGAAAAAACAATAAAATGAAGGCAGAAATTTTACACAAACTTAAAATGAACATGAAAATGAGTTGATGATGTACTTGAATGAATTGAATACATAAAAATAGTTAATAAGATGCATAACATTGGTGGACGGAATCGTTACAAAATTTTTCGGTGAAAAAGAGAAAGAAAAAATTTTATTTCTAATGGAAATTTATTGAACGTTTCTGGAAAACTTGTTGAGCTGGATTATTGTTATGTTTTAAAAATTGTTTAGGCGAAACAT